AATTGTTTATCAGCGCTCAAGAGCCATAATATTGACATCTCGAATTGGGATGCAATTATTGTATATCTATGCTCAACTAAACTTCCCGACTGTACGCTGGCTCTATGGGAACAAACCATAGATCACAAGAAAGATTTACCAAAGTGGGAAGACATGGACAAGTTCCTATCGAATAGGTTTCAAACCTTGGAAACCATGTCAGGCATAAAGGGCACAAAGTCTGTAAAAGCGTCAAAGCCGCAAAACACCAGACATCCCTCAGAAGCCCCCACAAAAAGACTTGGCGCGTTCCAAACAAGCGTAACCAAGTACACATGTAAAATGTGCCAAACAAATGAGCACAAATTACGCCGCTCTTCCCATTTCCTAAAGCTAACGCCAACTGAGAGGATAGAGTTTTTAAAGAGCAACAATGCTTGCCTGAATTGTCTGAGTTCTGGACATACTGTGTCAAGATGCACAAGCCCTTTCAATTGCGGCACGTGTCACTCGCGACATCATACGCTCCTGCACACCCAGACAATTCCGCCAAAGGCAACACCGCCTCAAACGCTACCGAGCTCTGCCAAAGATGTTGCCTCAACCTCGCAACAAGCTGCAGCAATGCGTAACTTCAATAAAACTAACTCCGGTAAAAGCAAAAACGTTAAGTCTAATTATGCAAATATGAACTCAGGTGTACTTTTAGGAACGGCTCGTGTAAATATACGTCTCAATGGTACAGATTTTTCAGCACGAGCACTCATTGATTCTGGTTCGGAGTGTTCCTTTATAACAGAACGACTCAAACGCAGAATCAACCTGCCATCTAAGAAGATGTATGCCAAAGTTTCAGGCATAACGAATTCAACCTCTGCTCAGGTCAAGCAGGCATGCAACATAGAACTACGGTCCCCTGTTGACCCACTGTTTAGTCTACATGCAACAGTGCTCGTGCTGACAAAATTAACTGGAAATCTTCCATCCTGCCATATCAGCGCTATGACTATGCAGGCATTTCCAGATCTGATTTTAGCAGATAAAAGGTTCTACGTTAACGAAGAAGTAGACCTAGTACTTGGCGGAGACATTTATCCCCAAATTATTTTGTGCGGCTTGAAGAAAAATGTTCTCAGTACACTTCTTGCCCAAGAAACCGTGTTCGGTTGGATTTTAACCGGTCGCACAGAAGCACCAAATCCAACAAACAACATAGTTTCTTATCATAGCGAAGTTGCCTTGGATCAACAACTAACAGCTTTCTGGGAACTAGAAGATATACCGAAAAACAAAAATTTAAACGAAGACGACAAGTATTGTGAAGAGCTTTATCGGAAAACGACTGAGAGAAACCCAGATGGAAAATATGTAGTCTCGCTACCATTTAGGCAGGAATTTCCAGCAAACATTTGCCTAGGCCCCTCTCTTAAAAGAGCATGCTCTCAGTTCTTCCGGAATGAGAAACGGCTTACAAAGGATCCCGTCCTGCAAAAGGAGTATAATAGGGTACTAACAGAATATGAATCACTGGGACACATGTCCAGGATAAATGGTAGCATTTCAGCAGACTCTTCCGATAATTACTTTCTACCCCATCACGCTGTGATAAAGGCGGAAAGCACCTCTACAAAAGTTCGGGTCGTCTTTAATGCCTCAAGCCAGACGGCTAATGGTACAAGTTTAAATGACGTACTTTACCCAGGTCCAGTACTCCAAGCAGATCTTCCAATATTAATACTCCGCTGGAGATTATATCGGTACGTTTTTAATAGCGACATCGAGAAGATGTACCGCCAAATTTGGGTGAATAACAACCATACCAAATACCAGCGAATAGTTTATCGTACAAACCCGAACGAACCTGTAAGTCTATATGAATTAAAGACTGTCACTTTCGGGATTAATAGCGCACCTTACCTCGCGATAAGGACACTTCTGCAATCAGCCGACGATGTAGAGAATTCTTTCCCAATAGCATCTAACATACTACGAAAGTGCATGTATGTGGATGACGTGTTAGCTGGAGGACATAGCGTCGACTTTACCATTAAAGCAAGAGATGAAATCTCAGAAGTGTTACGATCAGCTGGTTTTCCACTACGGAAATGGACCTCAAATTGTCAGGAAATTCTTAAGGGCATCCCAAAAACGGACCTTCTTAGCGAAGATTTCTTAGCATTCGAAGACACCAGCACGGTTAAGGCTCTGGGCATAAGGTGGAATGCCCATACGGATTTATTTTATTTTATGGTCAGACCATTGGAGGAGCACGACACTATTACGAAAAGGGCGATGCTGTCAGCGATTGCCAAGCTTTTCGATCCACTGGGATGGCTCGCACCAATAGTCATCGTAGCCAAAATACTCATGCAAAGTATTTGGCTAGAAGGCACAGACTGGGATGAGACTGTGTCTGATACTATTTTAGAACGTTGGCAGCATTTTACGAGACATTACCACGAAATAGATAATATCAGAATATCTCGATGGGTATACTTCTCACCTGGAGACACCATAGAGATACATGGTTTCTGCGACGCATCAGAAAAAGCATATGCGGCTACGGCATATATGCGTGTCAAAAGAGATGACAAAATTTTGGTCAATCTACTTTTGGCAAAAACCAGAGTAGCCCCCGTCAAAACTATATCGCTACCACGACTGGAGCTTTGCGGAGCAGTACTGCTCGCAGAAATCATAGAATCTATAATCAACAACCTCAACCTAGGACCAGTGAAGACACATCTATGGACGGACTCGACCATCGTACTCGCAAGAATACGAAAGCCGCCTTGTTCTTGGTCAACCTTCGTCGCCCACCGAATTACGAAAATCGTAGAAAAAGTAGGGGAGAAGGACTGGCTACACGTAGACTCGGCCTCAAATCCAGCCGATTTGGCTAGCAGAGGACTACCTGCGTCAGAATTGGTCAACAATTCTTTGTGGTGGCAGGGACCTTCTTGGCTGCAAGAAGACAACTCCAGGTGGCCCGCTCAAGGAACAGACTATCATACGGAAGTTGAAGAAAAAAGAGCACACACTTATGCGACAACAAGAGCAAATGATATCGATATTCTTGACCGTTTTTCCGATCTACCGAGAGCTTTGAGAGTTTTATCATATGTTATGAGTTTTTATCGAAGAACTCATTCCAAAACAAAAGCTTCATTTCAGGAAAATTCTTGTTTAATTTCATCTAATGAAATTAAAACAACGGCAGAAATCCTGATAAAAATCTACCAGAAGCATTATTATGGTGAAGAATACGCAAACTTGAAGTCTAAAAAACCAATCGATGCGAAGAGTGAAATCCTTCCGCTTAATCCGTTCATCGATAAACATGACATCATCAGAGCCGGAGGTCGCCTTGGAGCATCCCAGGACTTAGCATACAATGAACGCCACCCGAGCATTATCCCGTATAACAGCAGGTTGTCCCGCCTTATTGTATCGTTTATTCACAGGGTCTCCTTGCATGGAGAGAATCAACTGATGCTACGCCTCATCCGTACCCAATACTGGATTCCCAAAGTCAAGAACTTGATCAGGTCCACTATCCATAATTGTAAGACATGCATTATCTTTAAAAAACGGTCACAAACTCAACTTATGGGAACTCTTCCTCCGGAACGCACTACATTTACTCGCGCTTTCACCAATACGGGGGTAGACTTTACTGGACCTTTTGATGTTAAAAGTTACCGCGGCAGAGGTTGTCGAGTTTCTAAAGGGTATGTCTGTTTATTTGTTTGTTTCACGACAAAAGCGATTCACTTAGAAGCTACTAGTGATCTTAGTACCCCATCTTTTCTAGCGGCGCTCGCACGGTTCGTGGCTAGAAGAGGATGTCCGAGAAATATTTACTCCGACAACGGCACTAACTTTGTCGGAGCCTCACGATCCTTACGATCTGAATTTAAAGCTTTTCTGTCTGAAACCCGAGAAAAAACTATCTCGAAATACAATCATCAAATGCTGACGTGGCATTTTATACCCGCTGCAGCGCCTCACATGGGAGGACTGTGGGAAGCGGGCGTAAAGAGCTTCAAAAGCCACTTTAGAAAAATTGCGTCCGCCCACAAATACACCTTTGAAGAGCTTAGTACTCTTTTATGCCGTATTGAGGCATGCCTCAATTCACGGCCACTGAGTCCCTCTTCAAATAACCCTACTGACCTGGAGCCGCTTACTCCAGGCCATTTTCTCATCGGTGGACATCTTCTAGCCCCACCAGAATTAGACGTTAATGAAACTCCTGCCTCCATAGTGAATCGGTGGCAAAAACTCAAAGCGCTGAATCAAACTTTCTGTAGGCGATGGAAAACAGAGTACCTAACCGAACTTCAAAAACGCATTAAGTGGAAGCATCCCAAAGAAAATATCAAACCTGGTGATCTGGTCGTCATCAAGGAAGACAACTTAACCCCCACTGAGTGGAGGTTAGGACGAGTTGTCAACGTACACCCTGGTGCCGACAGCAGAGTACGAGTAGTGGACATCTCGACGGAGAAAGGTCAAGTCACAAGACCACTGGTGAAGTTGGTTCTACTCCCGCCATACAACGATGGAAACTCGGAGCCAACAACCGCCTCATAAATTACCCCTCACCACTTTACTACATTCCACTTCCTTTTACCACAACATTCCACTTCTAGGTAGTAGGAGGGATCCCATGTCTAACCTTTTTTGAGATAACCTGTTTTTAGTACCATGGAGTATATTTTGAGTTTTTTTTTTTTGTATTTGGCGTGATGGTTCTTACCCGAGTTACCCCGGGTTGATCTGGCTATACAAAAACGACCATCCTCAGATCTGAATCCATAATTAAAATAACTGCAGAAGTAGCGAACTACTCCGCCTCAGAATAAAAGCAAACAGTAGAAAACTAGCAAGTTTAACCCGATATGTTTTTTTTGTTTCAAAATCTTCAACCTCTCAAGCTTGCTGGTTTTCTATCCGCTTTATTTGGAAGAGATTGCATAAACTGTGTAGGCAGTTTATAGTGTAAGACCCGCCCGAAAGGAACAATTTAAAATAATACAAAAAAAATATTTAAAAACTCACATATCTTCGGCTCCAAAAGGGTTCGGTTCGGTGACAATCAGCTTCTTTTTGTTTGTGTTTTGTTGTTCGTAATCGCACGATACGCAGCATGTCGTTATGCCAGCAATCCCTGATAAAAAACACAAACCAATTAGGCCTCGAATAAACGGTTAACAACAAAAAGTAGGTATTGAATAACTCACTATGGCGTTGCTTAGTCAATCAATGAAAAGGCAGCAATTTGGAAAATCTGTTTACCCAGAAAAGCCAGCAAATTAATCGGGTACTTACTTCGATTAAGTCCCTCGATGTTGGTGTTATTTGCCGCCGATCGGATTAGAAGCTGCAATAACAGTACATCGTGCTTGTAGAGACGTCACAATACCAGCTTTTGATATGGAAATCGATTGCTGCTCCATGGCCTCGTGAATGGAAGTTCGATCCTGATCGTTCATTTTGTCAAACTCATCAATAAGACATACACCTTGATCCGCCAGTACCAGGGCGCCTGCCTCTAAAGTCCATTCACGCGATATTGGATTTCGACGAACATAAGCAGTCAAGCCTACAGCACTGGCCCCTTGTCCGATCGTGAAAACTGCACGTGGCGCTATTTTTTCCGTGTACTTAAGAAACTGAGATTTTGCCGTTCCTGGGTCGCCGCATATAAGTAAGTTTATGTCGCATCTAACTTTGTGTTTATCACCGGGGTTTTTAGACTCTCCACCAAATAGAGCCAGCGCAAGTGCGCGTTTAATATAGTCGTGGCCATATATGGATGGGGCCATTGAAGCTATTATTCTTTCTGCAATCCGAGGATATTTACTCAACTTCTGAATGGTAGCGATGTCTCCGTCCGTAAGCGATTGTACTACTTGTTTGCTGTCCTTCACAACGATATAATTCGCAATAATGACGGTGGCGAAAACCGGAAACCCTTGCTCAGTGTTTAGCGAACCATCAGAGTTGTTTGTGTAAATACCAGTAACTTCTAACTCATCACCCGGCTTGCATAAGTCACAAAGATCCGCTAAAAGAATTACGTCCTTACTACGCGGAATCCGACCAGCGGGAATGCGACCAGGAGATTCCTGTAAGGTAATCTTCTGGTAATTCCGATATAATGTTTGTTCCATATTAATCGAAAAAGGGCCGGCACTTTGACACTCAGGACAGGAGCCAGGTTTAACTTCTGTATTCTGTGACTGTACAAAGGGCCCCAAAACGTAGCCACACTTCACACAATCGTATTTGATGACTGAAAGTTGAGGTAACACACCCGTTGTAGCTGTTACCACGCCCAAAGTACGCACCAGCTGGTTCAGATGGAGTTTCCGGAAAGTCCGTAACTCTTCTATAAGAGGCAATTCTGATATACGAACATGAATTTCTGTTGTAACACGTTCATATGTTGGAAATATTGATAAGACCATGTCTTTAGCCACCTTGTCGAAGATTTCTAGCATTTGAGAAGGTGCTTCAGGTAGGAAGTACGCAAGTACATGCTCTTTATTTGCCAAATCCGTGTAGGATACAACAAATGAAGATTTATTCTGTTCGCACATGCGTCGAATACGGTCCCGGTATGTGTACATACCACGTTCATCAACAAAGGTGCAGCATTGAAAATCGGCCAAATACTAAGTATACAGGATTCTAAGGCGGTGTCACCGCAGCTGGCTAAAGCTTTTGAACGTGTACGCTAGGCGGCCGACTATATGCCCGATTGGCAAGTAGAGCGCGTAATGATCACACAATTGGGCGCCGATTGGCGTAATCTTTTGGAAAGTTTCGATGAGAAACCATTTGCGGCGGCTTCCATTGGGCAGGTACATCGCGCTACATTGAAAGATGGCATGCAAGTGGCTATAAAAATTCAATATCCTGGCGTTGCGCAAAGCATCGAAAGTGATATTGATAATTTAGTAGGCATGCTCAAAGTATGGGATGTCTTTCCGCACGGCTTCTTTATTGACAATGTGGTCAAGGTGGCCAAACGTGAACTAAATTGGGAAGTAGATTATACACGTGAAGCTGAATATACAGATAAATTTAAGCAGATGATTGCACCTTATCACGAGTACTATGTACCGAAGGTCATTAAAGAATTGACCACAAGCAGCGTACTGACTACAGAATTAGTGCCAGGTGTACCATTGGACAAGTGCTTCGATTTAAGCTATGAGCATCGCCATCACATTGCTTCGTCTATACTCAAGTTGTGCTTGCGTGAGCTGTTCGAGTTGGAATGCATGCAAACCGATCCGAATTGGTCGAATTTCCTTTATGATGTTGATACGAAGAGACTAATGTTAATTGATTTTGGTTTAACGCGTTTTTATCAAAAGCAATTCATACGTAATTATCGGCAGGTAATAATGCACGCTGCAGAGAATAATCGTGAAGGTGTCTTGCGCATGTCACTCGAAATGGGTTTTCTCACAGGTTATGAAACCAAGCAAATGGAAGAGGCGCATGTGGATGCTGTTATGATACTTGGCGAAATATTTCGCTTTGATGGTGATTTTGATTTCGGCCGGCAGAACACCAGCGAACGCATTGCACATTTAGTACCCACAATGGTCGCACATCGCCTTTGTCCACCGCCAGAGGAAATCTATTCCATACATCGCAAATTATCTGGTATATTTTTGCTGTGCTCACGCCTAAATGTACGACTTAATTGTCGGCCGTACTATGATGAAATTGTTATTCAGAAGTTCAAGGAGTAATATTGGGAAGGCACAAACTGTTAGGTATATATACAGGAAGAAATGTTTACTTTAGAAAAATGCATATAAAAATATATTTTATATGCACTTATGTATTTCAATATATAGATATACATACGTTGCCTTTATAATACGATCGCCTTGCTGTTTTTTTAATCATTTCAAAGGTGCGCAAAAAAGACTGAAAGCGATTGGCGATTTCTGTTCGTGGTCCAAGCATACTAACCCATTCTTTTGTAGAATGGCCCGTCGTTGTGTTTTCACGAGAAGTAACTTCGATTAAGTCCCTCGATGTTGGTGTTATTTGCCGAAAAATAACACCAGCAGAAACGATGCCCAGCAACATCCTGTAATTAAGAAAAAATTACATTCAAACATAGCTATATAATACGATATTTTACGCATACTCACCTAACCTTAAGATTACACAACCGCCGCGTGCCAGAAAAATATAATTGAAATGAGATATGAATTCGCCGTGTATGTATACGGATTTCCATTGAATTCATTCTGACATTTTTTTTTTTTTTTTTTTTTA